ACAGAAACAACGGGAAATAGTAAAGGTTCTCAAAGTTTCTCAAAGATCGAAAACCTATCAACTTTCCTAAGATGAAAACTGTAACTTGGAAATATCACAATCACCTAAAAGTTTGAAAGAACAATGAGGATCCAAATCTAGTTCCCCAATCTTTTCAAAACATAGAACTTAGTCAAAAATTCTAAAAGACCTACCCTCCTAATGCACAACTGAAAAAACACAAGAAAACCCAAAAACAAAAAGTCCCCATCCTTCCCACTCAGGTATAAAAACCCAAACCCCTAAAACATACTCAAACCCATCCAAAAGATGAGAAAGAGCTACATAGAGCCCTTAACATGTAAAACCCACACGAAACAATCCAAACCAAAGGGCCATGGTCAACACATAAGACTGACCTCAAATCTCAAACAAGAATCCTCTAAATAAAACAAAACTCTCCATTGCCTTTTAAAAAGCATTAATCATGAAAAGCTTCAATCACAACTCTCAATCAAATCAAAAATCATAAAATGCAATAATTTGATGATGATATCCTCCTTTCTTTTTCTTTCTTTTTATATCTTTTTTTTTAATTTTTCTCTTTTTTTTCTTTGCTTCTTTTTCTTTTTTTTCCTATCTTTTTTCTTTTGTTATACTTTCCACTCTCAACTCAAAGATCGCTCATCCTATAAATGCAAAAGAAATATGATCATTTGATTCTCTTGCAATTTCTGAGATCAACTTTATCTCCTACACAAGCACCAAAACATCTAAAAACAAGATCAAAAGAAAATGAATAGGTTAAACAGGACCCATACTCCTAATGTCCCACTACTTTACCAACTTCAATTCTTAACATTCTAGCACAATAAAGAGTTCCTCTTCTCTATCGAACCCTTCCTTGGCCAATCTATCAGCCATCTCATTTCATTCCCTAAGGATTTTTCTACCACTCCACTCCTTCACTAGTTTCTTGATCCCCTCAAAGCCAACAACCAATTTTCTCAATTTCTAAGGTGCTTTCTCCAGTTAGATCACCTATTTGACAACATTGTTGGAGTCACTTTTAACCTCCAACTTGTGCATATTCGCCCACTTAGATGCACCAAAAAAAAGAAACAACTCTCTAGTTGCCTTAGCCTCAGCCTTATTTACATTCCCTACACCCACCGCATTAGAGAACATCATCTTAACCACACCATGCTCATCCTGAGAGCCTTTTTAATGGCTAGTTCTCTTGGGTTCCCCTAACGACTCCATCAATATTGAATTTGGGGGTTCCCTCATTGGGCATCTCCCATTTGACTATTAAAACCTTTCTTATTTTTCCTTTAGTAATCATGCCTATAATAGGACTTCTCACCATCTTCTTAGCCTATCTACTCTCGCTTGGCCATTTAACCTTAGCCTACTAAGCCATTCTAACCTTTATCAATTCCAAGCATTCCTCGCCATCCCAAAGCTTCCCTTGAAAAACCATCTTGCTATGCATAAGCCAAATAGTTTAGATAATGGCGAAGAAGGCCAATCTTCACAATCTTTTATCCTTAACTCTTTTCAGTCCTAGAAAAAAGATACTGCTCTAGCTTAGGTAACTCATTGCACTCGCCACTGACTACCCATTTTCCTTATACATTAAGGTTATTCCTTGAAACTTAAATCCGCGAATCCAAACCAAAAGAATCAACAATAAAGCAATTAATAGGGAAGTTCTAATATCTACACCCTAGCATTGCAAGAAAAAATAAACGTACAAAGGTTTCTATTTTCATTTAACATAGCAAAATTCTCCAAGAAAACTAATGGGTACACTTCAAAATCACCATTTATAGGCTAAGATCACACTTATTACAATCAAGAAATAATGAATAAATAATGAATAGAGAAAGGGCTTGTGGAAGGAGTTTTAAAATAATCTTCATTATCAAACCCAAAAATATCTCTTTCTTATTCTTTGTACCCGTAATATAACCTTTTCACTATTATTATTGTAATCATAATTATTGGTATCAACATTGGCTACATTTTCTCCATTTTCTTTTCCTTTTCCATTGCTTGCACTTCCACTTGCACTACTGGTCTCACCGCCATCCCTGTCATTGGATGAAAAAGTCGAAAATGATGATGAAGATGAATAAGAGAATGAATTTATCAGTAAATAGATGGATAAATTTGTAAAATTTCTCTAACACCAAAGAAAGGGGTTTGTAAAGGAGGGAGACTAATGCCAAAAGAGAAGACAAACATTAGCCTTTGCCGTTTGAGGATTTTGAGAAATTTTAAAATATTAGATAGATAGCATGATTTTAGAGATGAGATAAGAAAGGGGAATATACATAAAGGTGGAAAAAGATTTATATTAAAAAATACCACATAATCATGTTATCATTTCACATCATCATCTATTATGACATATAAGCATGACATGTCAATATCACGTGACATAAAACAATTGACATTTTAACTAATAACAGTTACTCAATTATTAGTTATAAGTATTTATTTAGCTCAAAATAAAAATTTAAGGGCTTAACTGAAGGTAATAAAAGAATAACCATTTATTTGAATTTTTTTGAATAATTTAAGAAATTTTTTAGAGATTATGCCTTTTATTTATTTGTTATGCTTTTCTATAGAACAAATCTTGAAAGATTTATTACTATTAATTTAAGTTTATATTTAATACATAAAATGTTAACCATAAATTTAAACACATGATGAATCTTTCAAAATCTTCCAAAATCATCTTTAAATGGAAATAACCAAATGTAATTTTTTTGGTTTTTTCATAAAATAAAATTTTGCACTGATTAGTAAAGATATGGCATGCATTATTTAGAATGTAGATATATATGTCAGAAAAATAGTCCATCCATGTAAAGTAATTTCCTTTTGTTGTTATTAGTTTCGACTTTTATATATTTACATTATATTTATAATAATAAGCAGGACCATATTCTTTGCACTTGTAAGGTGTGGCAAAGAGAGCTCCGATGTCAAGCACTGATCCTGCAACATCAATTTCCCTAGAACTAGGGTTTAGCATCAGAGAATTTTATCACAACGCCGAAGAAAAGTCAAAGATAATAGTGCAAGAAATGGAGAGAATATCAAGAGAAGTGCGAGAATCTAAATTTTACTCTCAATTATGCAAGCAAATTGAAAGTGAGGAATTTCAAAGTAAGTTAAGTCGTGCCTTAGGCTCTCATTTCTATGATGTTACCATGGTGATTTATGCTTTAGGGAGCTTGGAAAGAGCCACTTCTCCAAAATATCAATTGGCCTTTGCGCTTTTGTTACAACAAGACTTTTTTGGCTGGATAACTAGAATAGAAGTGTTCGATCCCTTGTTATCTCTAGCAGATATCCTTGTCTTAGAAAAATTTGGATGCATTGTTTTATGGATGAATGAGGAGTGCCAGAGACGAGTTGAAAGTCCGACGTTGTTTTTTATGCCTTATGCCTTGAAGAGTCTCCAGGGAAATTTATTGGAAGCAAATTGGTGGCCTTCAAATATAAACCAGGTGATTTTGTTGACAAATAGATTAAGTGCTACGGTAGAAGATTATCATGATTTCTTACGTGATGGAATTATATTTAGCTTGGACTCTTTCATGGAGAATTGGGAATATCTAGAGGCTATTCAGAAATGCATCCAAGAGATCAACATCTATACAAACTCTAAAAATTTTGCTTATGGTTTCTTGGCTCACCTTAAAGATGTTACTAACAATAGGTACTTACATTACCAATTGCATGACTTGCCTTTTATGATAAAGATGCAATATCTAGAGGCTATTCAAAATTATACTGAAGAGATGAGGATTAGCCTTGGACAACCTATTGACAATTTGTTGTATAACTTTGCCTTTCATTTCTTTAATGTGGCACCTGAGGTTGATATGCAAACCTTGCTTCAAGGTATTAATTTAGTCCCTTTTGTTTTTTTCATCTTGTTTTTAAATTTAATGAACTCTTTTTGTTCTTTGACTTCATTGTTGTGTCTAGAATTGATCAGAAATTAATATTTTTTCATGATGTAGGTGAAAGAGAAGTTCGACTAAAATTTAGAAGGCAATTTGACAAGATTTGGAAGATAGAAGAATATCAAATGGTTGCTTTGATTGAGGCATTGATCGTTAAGGCATGGTATGAACAAATGGCTGAAACAGAAAATGATTTGTGAAACTAAGTTGGGTATTAGAACATCATCTTTGTTAAATTCATTACTAGAATATTAAAATATTTATAATTTTCAACTTCTATGTATGTATTTATATTGTTTTGGTGATGGTGTCCTTTAAATATTTTTTATGTGCTTGGAAAAACTAGAACTGATGAAGGAATCAAGCATTTACCATTAGCTTAAATACTTGTTTACTTATTTTTGCTTCTAATTAAGTTTATTAATGATATTTTGTTAGCATGTCAAAAATCACTTAATATAAAGAGTTAAATTTGTTAGTGTAAGCCTTGCAAGCCAATCGATTTTATGCTTGTAAAACACTACATTAATTAGTCATATTTCATGTTAAATACATTATAGATATTTTATACAATGTATGAGGTATTTCTTTATTCATAAGTTTATTTATAAAGAGTTTTGAAAGACTTATGTAGATAAAGTCTTTGGAACATAATGGCCTTGCAAAGAAATTATGAAGGTTATAATTATGAGATTCTTATGCATCAAAGCCTTGTTCCTAAATATGTTTCTAGTCATTGTATTGTTAAGAATAAGGATATTGACAATACTTAAAAGCTAGTATATGTTAGACTCCTTACTTTGGAAGTAAGCAATTGATCTCATAGGTTAAGGTATGTGTAATACTTGGGATATTATGTAAGTACTTATTAAGGAATAAGTTTACTGAACATAACTCGCTATGAGAGTTTCATTTGGTATTTCATTCAAGTGTCTATGGAAATACTCTCATGTGTTCAGTAGTGTAAATAATCCTTAAACTTGTTATATCAAATCATCTTGTATGTGACTTGTCGTGCTTTGATTTTACCTCTACAGGTCTAGAGGCAATCAGATGCCTAAACAATGTGCTTTTGTGTATGGCATGAAGTATGTGAAGATGAATGAGAAGTCCAAAGAGAATTCATCACCTTAAGTGATTTGAAAGGGACATATCTCATTTGCTCCTAGCTTATATTGACTAAAAGTCCTTGGCCAAAGCAATCTTGATAGGTCAATATACAAGCTGCAAGACTAATATGGAAAAGTTAGAAAGTAGACACTGAGCCAGGTTTTCTATTTTATCCGATATATATAATAAAAGATTAAATTACACTGAGATATTGTACACTGAAAGGTTAGTCAAACCATATTGACTCTCTGACATTTGGGTGGTCATGATGTATTGCTAGATGCCACTCATGATCTATAAATATAAATATAAATTCTTAGTTAAATTAATTTGTATTTATTGCCAATATGTTGGGTACATAATGGGTCACACATATAAGGTAAATTGTTGAAATTTATTTGAGTTCAATTGGATGTGATCTAATTGACTTAATAGAGGCTTAATCCAATTAAGTATTGGGCTAAATCGAATATGATTTGATAGGGCATTAAAAAAATACCCAATTAGCCTAAGACATTTCTAATCCTTGATGGATATAAAATATATGAATTCACTCTATAAAAGAATCCTTTAGCCACCTCTTGAACGTACAGAAGAGTTCTATTTTATTTTCTCATATGTTGAGATAGGATAACAGTCAAAAATAGAGAAACACAAAAGAGTTGAAAATTGAGAGTTTGTTAGCACAAACTTCAGCTTAAAGATTCACACACTCTTAGTAAAGAGATTTTAGCAAATCACAATATGGATCACCATTAGAGGCAAGACAATTATGCTGCTATGGTTTGATAAGCCTTAGTTAGTGTAGAAAAGTCAAAAACAAAAAACCAATGAGGACTCCACCAAAAAAAGCAGATATCAAACTTTCATATATGTCGAAATCTTTCTTATGTGGTTTTTCTAAATTAACTTCAATTAAAGTGATCCATAGCTTAGGAGATTAAAATTTTAATAATATTCTGCTGTGCATAATCACTTTAGCATGATTTGAATCCCTAACAAAATTAATTATTTCAAAAGTTATTTTATTCATCTTTGGGAAATTAACTTGTGGTAAAAATATATTCCAAGAATTTTATATACCCTTAAGTAAATGCTTATATTTATCAGTCTTGAACTTGATGGTCCCTGCATTGAATTTATATTATGTAATGTTTTATCTTTTTTATGTATTAACACTACACTGGTCATAGAGCTTTGGAAGTTCTGAATTTTCAATTTTTTTTGAACATTTACAGTGCTTTGATGGTTAACATATATATCCTTTATTGATAATAAACAAAACATACCCTTAAATAATGGCAAAATTGTTGAAAAGCACATAACATTCTCTATTATTCTTCATTTGTTCCATCCGGATTATTAATTGACTTTTAAAAACAAACAAAAAAAAAACCCTCTGATTTTAACAATCTACTGTTTGCACAGAGTCAATAGACCAATCTGAGTCAAGCAACAGCATTGTCTTCATGGTTGCGGGAGTATGAACTCTTGTTTCTCTGTTGTGCTTTCTTTCAGGAAGCCTATTTCTTTTGCATTTGTTCTATGGTTTAGTCACATTTGTTTTATAAATTGATTGAAATTGAGTGGCTGGAGATGTCTAAAGGGCCAAACCAAAACAAATGTGGCTAATTAATCACGCAAGGCAACCAAATTTTACACAGGCCAGTTTGTATGACACTTGAAGTCTCTTAGCAATCAGCATAGAGACACTGTGGTTGGTATAATGGCTCTAATGCTAATAAAAATGCCTTTTAAAAAATATTGAGAGAATTTGGGAGCTTAATTTTTTATATCAACTATAAGAATTCAAGAGAGGAGGGGTCAAAAGTAGAGGATTTCTATATTTGAAATCTATATATAAGGATTGGGTTTAAATCTCCATTCTCTTAAATAATAAAATATTTACTATAAGTTGCCTCAGGTCATGACTCATGAGATTATGAAATACTAAGCAATCATAGACAAAGACAACAACAGATGAAGTACTTATCATCGTCTACATCCACATCAACATCTAAACTGTGGTCGCCACCATCACCAGCACCACCGCCAACAGCTTCTTGGGCAACATCCAAAACATCAGCTGCATCACTAGCAGCTTTAGCGGCAGCTTCAGCTTTCTTTTTGAGCCTATCAAGCTTGATTTGCTGCCGGCGTTTCTTCCTTGCACTTGCAATTACAACCCAAAGCACGATTTTAACAAAGAATATGATGACAATGATGAAGGCAATGTTTCCACTCATCTTTAATTTTCCAAGTTGCCGACTTCACAAGGATTAATTGAAAGTAGATGAATCATTTATATATAGCAATTAGCTTTTAGAAGCATTGGAATTGTGGGAAACATCAAAAGGTTCTGTGTTTTCCTATGAACTGGATAGTACTGTGTACAATTGGCAAATAAAATAAAATAGAAAGCAATAGACATGGACTGGTATATTTTAGATATGTTTCATACACCATGAATGTATAAATTAATTGTAAATAAATGACAACTTGAGGAGTTAGGGTTACTATAGAGTGAAGACGGTCGAATTCTAGATTCCAACAAAAATTTTGGGACAATTTTAGAGCTTCAAAGGAAGCTTCATAGGAAATCGTTATACTATTCTAGAGATGGCCAACAAGGTTAGAACATATTTAACTAATCCAACAATCATTTTAATAGAAATTTCGAGGAAGTTTACCACAGGACTAGAATGCTCAATGCTGCAAAGCTCAGGTTGTATTCAAGGTGGACTAGAATCCAACAGTCATTTTAATAGTAATTTCAGCCCAGTTGCTTAAGGTTCCTGCATTGTTTTGATCCAGTGTCGAGGTTGATTTTTATTTTGTTTATCCTGTTCTAACCCTTTGCTGGCTTCTTCTACTTATCCTTATGTTAATGTTGAAGTCCAATCATATTATAATTAAGATTATTTACTATTTCATTAACTTATTTAATTAGCTAGGATAAGGCTTTGCAACATCCAATTATACTATATTATAGAAGTAAACAGTGTATACTCTCATTTTTTTGGCACAAAACGGTGTATACTTTGGTCATGTTGGACAGATGCTACTCAATGCAAACAAAATCATAAAAATCATAAGATGGACAAACACAAAAAAATGAACAGATTGTATCTGTGCCAGTTTGTGGAACTGATCAGATGCCAACTCCTGCTGCAATAGCTATGCTTGTGATGTTTTGGTCAACTTCTGATTAACCAGTGCCAAGCAGAAAATTATCAAAGCAGCACACATAAGTGATCAGGAATCTTATATTTAAAGGAGCAAAACCCATGAAAATGAATTAATCCAGTTTTCCTAGTGCTACTGTTTCAAGAAAAGGAAAATTAAAAGATAACAATTAGCTCCAGAAATTTCTAATATAATGAATGAAATAGATGTAAAACGACAGCGAAAGGCAATATGCATATGCTCGATGCAGGTAAATCATACTATCTCTGCATATGTCTGAACCTTTTGGGGATACCAAGGAAGGCTCAAAAGGGCAAGAAGAATTTGAAAAGCACGAGCCTTCCAGCAACTTGAAAAGCAGGGAGCTTCTTTTCTTTGCAGAAATAATTGCCCTAGAATAGAACTAGCTGAATGGCTGAACGAGTTCATTATATTTCCATTAATTTGCACATGAATGTTGACTGAATTTTAACCTGTCTTTCATAGTTGGCTCGAGTTGCAACACATTTATTATCATTTGAATGTCCATCACCACAATTTGAGGAATATGCAAAGGCCCGAATGTAAGAAACAAATACACCACGATATGCAGTAAATAAATAGCCTTTGAGCTCTCTCTTCACAATTTCAAACTTATGACTTCTATAATAATGTTTAATTGTTAAAATTAGACAAAAGAAAATTAAGCAATTAAACTCAAGTGTTTGGCTTTTTTAAGGTCGATGTGGTAAATAATCCTTCATTTATTTTAGTACCCTTCCACTATGTAGAGTAATTCAACTTCTTGGACATAGCCAAGAAACCGTCAAAGTCGACCAGCAGGACAGGAAGGAATAAAGCCTTCACTGCCCAGACCAGACAGAGACACAGTAAGACCAGATCCACACCTTAACTTACACAAACTATCATAAACTGAAGAAAACACATCACACCAAACAGAAAGCATAAGCGAACAGAACCAAGAATGCACCACTGACATAGAGTCCGCCTCCCTGTAGAAACCCAACAGCCAGAATAAGCAATCCCCACACAGCCCCCATTAGACCCAGATTCAGCATATCACAATAAGGTAACTATGCATTCATAAACAATTGACAGGAAAATTGCAAAAGAATAATACCTTTTTGGAGTAAATGAATAATTTAATTAGCGAACACAGAGAACAGAAATTTCTAATCTCTCGGCAAAATTGCTCTGTTGTCCATATAATTACAACTACCTAGAATTATAGAACCTGGGAAGGAAACTGCAAGGTAATACATATAATTTTGTGAAAATAAGTACTTTTTTATTGCAAAAATAAAGAAATACAAAACTGTTCTGTTGTCCCTATAACCATAACTGCCAATATTTCACAAGTCAAACTTGACATGAATCTATGCTTTATATTTCTTCGAGGGTTGCGCAAATTTTGCATCCAATCCAAACTCGGCAGGATTCTTCTCTGGTGGAAAGGCAGTGAACATCTGATTTTGTGACACAACAGCAGCATAAGGTGACATAAATCCAGGATACATACCGGCCCAGTATGGATTATAGGCAGAGTAGTGTGGAGGCATCATATAGCTGTCAACTCCAACATTTTGGGACGTTCTCCTCTGTGGGTATGTTGGCATCTTGGAGATATTCCTCTTCCTTTCCTTGTGTGTCTTGCCCGAAACTACCTTCTTCTGTTGCTCTTCTTTTTCCCCAAGCATGACACTTGCTTTCGATGTTGGCCCCTTGACTTTGTCTGAGGTATGTTGTGAGGGAACAATCATCTGTGTCCGTTGATCGGCTTTTGATGCAGCAGATGCACTTTCCTGAATCGAAAAACTGGTTCCACCATTGTAAGAATTTCTATTCCCGGATTGATTCAGAATTCGGTTGATAGTATCTCTAAGAGTCGTATTAGGCAGAACATCACCGGTCACTATTTTCCTTTGGCAAACACAAGCAGACTTGGAAACAATGTGATCCCTTATGCACTTGTCACAAAAGCTTCTGAAACAGCACTTTGTCAGAGCAGCATCTTTCATCACCTTCTTACACAAAAGGCAGCGAAGTTCAGGTGGTATCATATTATCACCAAAAGAACTACCAGAACTTGAAGCAGAATCCTTTGAATTTGCAGTTGTAGGTTTAACCCTTTTAAAATCATAATTGGGATCACCATTAGTAGGGCAATGTTGAATATAATGTCCAGCCACCTTACATCGATGGCAGACATAGCCCTGTTGTGGGATTCGGCCCTTTCCAAAGACGTATAAAGTTTTAAACCCATCATCAATTTTGTCTTCCTTAGAATGGGTATTGCTTGGATTGGCAGTTGAGTTTATGAGAATGAAATCGGAATCAGGTCCAAAATCATGGGAATCAAAGCGTCCTTCTTCTTGAGGATCTTTCACAGCAGGTGATGGGTTCTTTTCTATCTTGGGTTTTTCTTCACCAATAACAATGGGTGACACCGGTACTCCAGGAATGCGGCGAATCAAAAGGGAAGTCTGTATTGGAATTAAGATGGAATCATCGGCATATTGTTCATCGGTTTTGGCATTGGAGATCAACAAATCAAAATCTTTGCCATTACCGTATCTTTTAGAAGCAAAGATTCTGGATTTGAACTCGGAAACTGAGATAAACGGACCATCAACGGGAATGGAATGGAAATCTTTGGAGCTCTTGAATTTGTAATAAACCACAGCCATAGATGAATCCTTAGGGTTAAGGTTGTATCTTCCTCCTCAAGAAAGGGTTTGGACGATGGGGTTGCAGAAATTTGAAAAATCTTGGGTTGCTTGGGCTTCATGCAGGAGGACTGCAAGAATGACAAAAGTGTACGTTGTAAGGAGAGGCTAAATACCACTTTAAATAGGAATTCTTTGATTGGAAGAAAATTTAATAGAAAATTGTAAAAATGAAAATACTAAATAGTATCAATAGATATCTTTATTTTCAATAATTATTATAAAATAAAAATGAATTGATTGCCACGTACGTTGAGGGGAGCTGAGTTCTCAAACACTTTATCATAAATGTGTGGACGACGGACAATGATTCTTTCCGAATAAGAAGCCATTGAACTGAAACTCATCAACTCACTTCCACTGCCAACAGAAACTTCACCAAATGGCTGCTTTCAACACATTCAAGCTATCACTTGTCTTGAGTCTGCTCTCGAACATCGGTCTGTTGCCAGAAACCAGCAAGAACACTGTTGGGATATTCCCACCGACATGCAACCGCATAGAGTGCCCGAGTTTTGATGTGATTCAAGTTGGCAATGGCTATGAGATCCGTAGATACAATTCCACCGTCTGGATGTCGACTTCTCCGATTCAGGATATTTCTCTTGTTGAGGCCACCAGGACAGGCTTTCTTCAGTAAGATTACTGTCTCTCATCTCCTAAATTAACTTCTTTTCATTGTTTATTTCTTTTTTAAAAAAATTAATTTTATTACCAATCAAAAGCAGGTTAGACCCCTGAAAAAACAAGCCACTGCAACCCGACAATGGGGGCATCAGCCTGGGTACAGTTGACAGAACCTGGCCTGCAAAAAGTTGCCAGTAATTTACCTTATTCATATATACAAAAATCACACCCATCAACCCCATTTATTTCTATGGGTTTATCCAGATATTAGTTCATTAATTTTATGTCTTGTAGAGTGTTGCTGAAACTCACACAGAAATTTATGAATTAATACTATTATTCTTATCAAATACCATGTTCATATTTCTTTGAGGATAAGGGTAGATTATGTAATTGATTTCCAATCTTTCAAGAACTGTATTAAGCTCTCTTATTTTATCTCATCATTTCATATCCTCTTTATAATCATTAGACTCACCCTAACTTTGGTGTATAATGATTGAAACAAAACCAATTTGTTTGATTTCTGGAGACCAGTAATTTGAGCCTTATGTTACCTCAGATTTTGCTACTGATAATGGAAGAGAATAGCAGGTGGAAAACAGAACCACCCTGTTCCATAACAGAATCTCTGAAAAATCCAAGAGAACTTGGAATTTCTATGTGCATTGGTGTTAAATTTAGCATATTTTCTCCTACTTTCATTTGTCTCCACTCTCCAACCTAATCCATCTTCGCAGATATACTCATCCGTTGTTCAAATTTTATTTTTCTTGCTTCCAAACACATTCATGGTTTCTCAAAACTAGCTACTAAGAATGCATGGAAGTTCTAAAAATTTGGTTCCTACTTCTTCTTGCAGGCTATTTAACTACATTCAGGGAAAGAACAAATACGAGGAACAGATAGAAATGACAGCTCCAGTGTTAACTGAAGTTCTACCAAGCGATGGACCCTTCTGCGAGTCATCATTTACGGTCAGCTTTTATGTCCCAAAGGTGAACCAGGCAAACCCTCCACCAGCCGAAGGCCTCCATGTCCAAAGATGGAAATCCACCTATGTAGCCGTAAGGCAATTCAGTGGATTTGTAACAGACTATAATGTTGCAGAGGAGGCTGCTGCCTTGCAAGCCAGTCTTGAAGGCACTGCTTGGTCTGCTGCTATTGAGAAGACTCGGAAAGCTGATGCCACTTCAGTTTATACGGTCGCACAGTACAACTCTCCATTTGAATTTAATGACAGGGTAAATGAGATTTGGATGTTGTTTGACATGGAAGATGAAATCTTGCCGGTTTAAGTTGACAGTTGGAGGAAAATAACTTGGCTAATCTTAGAACTACAAGTTACAGTGCTCCCGAGAATGGTATGTTTAGAGGAACTGAGTATATATTCTAAATCTCTGAACTTTGTCTGAGATGAGAAACTGAGGGTCAAGTATCTTGTATGTAACATGTAGCATTGAATAAATAAATGGTTTTAACTGCAAAAGCTTTGATCAATAAAATCTGGCTCTCATCTTATACTGAAGACTTAAGATTTAAAACTCCATATGAATTTTCAACAATTTGATCTAACCATGCATGCAAAATGAGGCCACATCCTCCAGCTAGCGCTTCTTCATTTGGATAATCTTTCTTCTGCTAGCTTGAAAGCCAGATCCATGGGCTCCAACCGATGTATATCTTATGATCCTAATTTCACAATCTAGAGCAACACATTACTAAGGACTGACAAATATACTCTGGCAAATAACCAGATCCAGCATCTCCAAGGGCTTTACAAATTGTAAAAACTATATATCAGATGCGGAACAATCATGGCTTTCACATTGCTGCTTCTCTTCACAATGGGGAGGAAGAACTATCAACCATCCCCAGGGTCATGCATGGACCCTCCTTTGAGGGAGGAGACCATCTGCAGACCGGGATTAGAATCCATTTGTCCTGTAACCGGTATGTTCCCAAAATTGAAAATTGCTTAACTGGAAATAACTTTCTCAAAATTAGCATGGATTCAGCTTCAGTCTGTCCTACAAGCTAAACTGGGGGAACATGATCGGATATAAGACTCAAAAAACAGGGGCTGGAGCCCAAGGGAAATGCTGGCACTATACAATCTTCAAAAAATATTTTGGGGAAATAACAAGAATATTTCTTTCCGTGGGTATTTTAATACGATCCACATGCCTCAATCAACAAAGCATTGAAACGAAAATTGAGGCAACACTTCTACCTGGCTAAGTCACTATTTAATCAGTTGGAATTTCCACAAACTATAGTTCACAATGACCATAAGTTCTATCAAGAGTATTTTTTGGGTTACTCCCATATTTTACAAACATGCCATTGTCACTATCCAAAGAAATTTTGGTCAAAGAATTACCGACCTGTTTCAAGTTCTCTTGAACTGTAATCACAGGTTGGGCTGATGAGTATGAATCCCAAACATAACCCTTCTCCTCTAAAACATACCTAGTCAGGGGTCTACTAGTTGAAAACATTCTACACGAAACCGTGTTGCAAGAGGAGGATTCTGGAGTATACAAGTTGTTGAAGATTGAGAATGGATCTCCACTGCTTGCATCAGCATAGTCCACAGTACTGAAAGAGTCTCTAGTACTCTCCGTTGTAAAAGAAGCCTCATCTGAGCTAGTGAAAAGGGACCAATCACTAGAAGTAGCATCAGAGAACTCCATACTGATAGGTTCAGCATACATCTCCATCACAGGGTGAATGTTACTATTTGCACTCTGCCTAAGAATGCCATTAGAGTTGTTACAGCCTGTAGCAATTTCAGGCCTGAAATCTGAAAAATGCTTGGGGCCAACAGAATGGCTACTGGATTTACTTTGTTCTGGCCGTGACGGCTTCTCAGATTTTGAGGTGGTGTGCCTAGTGGAGGCTGGAGCTTGCTTCTGCATGCTCTTTTCAGTGAAAGCTCTTTGAGGGCGAGGGCAAGACCTTCAAATGGATTACATACTTTCAGAACTTGAAGAGAGGAAGTCAAATGTAACATTCATACAATAAAGGAACATCCACGAAATTATTTTAGCAAGAAAACTGACTAGAGTTCCAACATTTAATGCCGCAGCTTAAGTATGTGATGATAACATAAACAATATGAAACACCATAAAAGCAATTTTTTTTTTTTGAAAAGTACCATGAAAGCAATTATCAGATAAGATATCTTAATCCTTTCTTTCCCTGGAGAAGATAGAAGATTGATCTGAATTAAATGGAAGAGATTGCTAAGAAGTCCTAGGATTGCAACAAGATCTAATTGATACACAGGGATAGGAAACCCAGAAAAGGAACAAAGGACAAAAGGAAAGGGAGAAAACAGGGAAAGGTAGATGGTATTTCTAAAAGTACTCTAGCAATGATAGATATCTACCTCATGTAAAACAAGATGTAAGCCCCCTCAGACATCACTTGACTCATTGACACCGGATGAACCTGTAAGTGAAGGGGGAGCCAAAACCTTATTTCAATCCCATTGCAACAAAAGAGAATCTAAATGAAACAGTTAGAATTAAAACATATTTTAAAAATGCAAACAATCATGCTGATTGTATAAATCAGCTATTTTAGCCCATGAAATATACAAGCACGAATGATGAGATTCCTTTCAATAAAGCTAATAGCAAGAGAAAAGAAAATGCAAAAATAAAAATAATTTGATCAATAATATATGGAAAAAAACAGTTCATTGACATGCAGACGGATGTCCACAGAATTATGGCTTTCACCTATTCTAAATAAATAGAAGAAAAGTAAACAACAGTCCTGATATATTTTCACTGAGCAGCTGTATTTCTAAGAAACAATCAACACGGGATTATTTTAGTAAGGAAAACCATATATTCTCGTGTGTATAACCAATCATCTTGCACTGAACCTGAGGAGATAACTTTACCTCAGTATCATCTATCCTGAACCAGTTGCCTTGCAAATCTTTTACATATGACACATAATGTCCAGAAAAAGATGCATTCAGCGTATCCAGATGCACCACAACAGCATAGAGCATGTAAAGTGGAGGGATGTCACCCGTTCCAGTCATATACGGAACCATATCCAGCATCTCAGGGAAAGTGATACATTTGTTTATTTTCCCATATTTTCCCTCCTGATTAAGCAACAGCAACATCAAGAAACGATCAAGTCAAACAATGAACAAACCAAAAACAATATTATGCAATATTTCAAAAGTAGGTTACAATGCAGGAAGGATAGATAGACACACAAACCTATCATCCCCAAATTGTTCCACAAATAAAGAACCTAATGAAAAGGAAACCAATTTTACACTTTGGTGTGTTTAAAACAGTACAGACATACGATGTCTACCTTCAAAATTAATTCTGACTTGTCTGCTATTTGTTGAGGGCTATACAGAAGCAACATTTGCTTAAGTTGAGTAAGTTGCTAACATAGTTATGAAGCAGCTTGTAAACCACCGGACCAAAACTCAAACCTAATTGTCTATAGACCAAAAGAGCAAGTTCTAGGGAATGTTTTTGCATTTATGACATGACATTAACAGAGGAGAGTACAATGTAGAGCAGAGTCATACCTGAAACCTCTTTAAGACAATTGTCAGGATGTTTGGAGCCTCATGTATGCACAACTGCTTCCTAGCCCGAACATAACTAGCACACCTTTTGACAAAAGTATTTGCAAAGCCAGTAAATTAAGCAAGTTAAATCAAGTTACATGATTATTATAATAAAAGATAATACAAAACATACTAAAACAAGGTTTCACACCTTCCACATCTATACATGTTTTCTCCATCCAAATCTTCAGGTGTTGTAAACTGAGTTAGTGCATCTTCCAATGACTCAACCCAACCAAATATCTCTAATGTAAGATCCATAATGTTTTCATATCTTTCTGATTCGTGAGAACATCTAAGACACTTGACCTAATTACATGGAGATTGCATTATACATAGCCCAAGGAAAAGTCAAAAAAAAAAAACGTAAAAAAGGAGCAGAACAATATTTCATGAGAGAACATAAGATAAAAGTTAAACAAAATAAAATAGCTATAGACACCTTTGACCTAAGATGCCCTCCAAAAGTATGTTGTATAAATGTTGTCTCTTGCAACCTGGGATCAACCTTGCGTTCCCCACCTAATCTCTCCAAGCATATCGATTGCATTGAAGCAACCAGGAGCCTGAAACAGACAACAACTCAACTTTCAGAGTGGCAAGGGGATGAATTCCAATCTTACAGTAAAAGTGTGGAAGTTTAAAGCAAAACTAACAAATCTAGACACATATACAAGGGGAAAAGAAGGGGGTGCAGGGGGCTATTGGCTAGCGAATATTGTAGACCTCAAGAATTCATGTGCATCTTCCTGACTTCCATCACCCATCTGGCAATTAATACTTCGAATGTGTGTAAGGATTCTACTAGGTGACAAGGGGCCTCCGCTCTCTCTTAACAACATTACATGTTGCTCAAGCTCACACATAAGACACCAATCTTTCCCATAACCTATAATATAATGCAAAAGTAAGCTCTGATGCAATTGAACAGTGTAAAATATTTGCGTTATTATTAATGTACAAATAACAAACAAGTGAACCACAAAAAAGTAAGTACAGGCTCTTGAATGTGATCTTCGCAGCAGGTAGATGCTGAGAGGCTTTGTGCAGGTTAAACACTGCAGAACAGCATTGGCATAGCAACTGCAAAACAAAAACAATCATCAGTGCAATAAAATATAAGCCCTTAGGATTTACTTTTAGTATACAAATACAAATAAGTCATCCTTCTTTTCAAAATCCAAAATGAATTACATTTTGATTGGTCTTCTGTCAATACACCACTTTGCAATTACCAATCAGATGAAGTATGGTACACCTAAACTAGCTCTTGTGGGTAAAATCAAGAAAATAAAATGCAATAGGGTATTGAGGTGACTATTCATTCTGTTTTATACTTAATATGCCATTGAAGACGTCAATCTTCAGTATTTTTCTTTCTTTAGTTCGGGACATATACTACTACAAACATTTCTTAACTTGAAGACCATATTCCTAAGTTTGATGGCATATATAGCAGAAGGTACAACCATAGAAGTAACAATAGCAATACCTGTTCCCACAATTTAGAAGGCCCCTCAGTGATAAGTCAAAGAATTCACACTGGAAAAAATTTACAAATTCTTCATAAGGAAACAGCATCTGAGACAATAGGATAACAGATCATAGTCAGAGTTTTCTGTTCACAATTCAAGAACCCTATAAGAGAATTTAACTCAAAATGGAAGTGATGCAATGGATAACAATCATAGATAAATGTAAAGAAACTGACCTTTATTTTCTTACGTCTTTCACCACAAAGTGCAGAAAAATCCTGCCTAGCAAGTTTTGATGACTTCCTTAAACGCATCATCTCCTTAATTCCCATGTTAGCAGGCCCATCAATTCCTGGTGTCAGTATGGCACCTGTCATTCCAGAAACTTCTGCATGAAAAATGTAGAATATGAAACGCCACAAAAAGCAACACCTAAATATCAAGAAGAAAAAGTTGAAAATTTACTTAATTCATCTGGAATTTGTCCCTTCCTCTCCATCTCAGGGCTTAATTGTTCCCCAGATACTTTCACTGCTAATTTTGGTGATTTAGAGACTTTGGATTCTAGGGAATGCAATGAACTTCTGGCTTTTGTGCATTCCTTTAGTGCTGTCATCCCAGAACAGTCTAACTCTACTGGTTCATCACTAAAAGAAAATTCCCCATTGACTAAATTCTCTGCACCCAGAACAAAGGCATTTTCAGCTTCATGAGCACTTGTCCCACCTTTTGCAGAATATGGTGGGCCAGAAAATTCATAGTTGCTTTTTGGTTCAGATATGTTGCCACGTTGACTTTGATTTTTATGACTCTCATGCATGGCAGTTCTTGCATTTTGTCCATGAATATGCATGTTAGAACCATCAGCATTATGCTGTTTTGAGATGCCTTCTTCTGATGCAACAAAGCCACTAGTTCTTGACTGCACCAATAGTTCAATGTAATTATCAGAATCTACCTGATTAAGAAAAAGCTA